TATATATATATATTCATTTTTTTTCAGTTTTAGCTTTAGTTATTTTAGTATATCAAGTTAAACTAAATGAAAAACGTAGTAACTAGCTTAAAACATTTTATTATATTTTATTTTAGTTTCACATTTATTGTATTTCAAGTAACTTTGTATGGTTTATTTTTAACTCTAATGACCCTGCATTGATTTTAAAGGCAGGTTGAGCATCAGACACACGGTAAGCATCAGCGTAAGGTTTACATAAGATCCAGACTTTACATAAGTTGATCCAGACTCATCCTCCTCCATCCGCACCGCTTCCCAGAACCCAAAACATTGTGGTTTTCGCAGACTGAAGAGATACTGGCCTTCAGAAAACGTCTTCATAGCCGGTTATCATGTTCCCATCGTATAATGCGTGGGAGAATGGTCAAGTGAACTTCCCCATAAGAGAGTTTAATGTCATCTAAAGCAGCGCGGTCTCTCATTAGCGCAATCTTCCTGTGTTTAATCCCGGAGGGGTGTGGGGAGAGACCCTCCACTTTGATTCAGATAAAAGCAGCTATCTCTCACCTCTTTATAATTAGGATCTCCCCTTGTGTCCAGTCCTTCCTGACGAGACGGAGGCCGTGTGTTCCACCCAACCTCCACCTGTTTGTCCAGCACAACAAGCAGATCTCTCATTAGCGCAATCTTCCTGTGTTTAATCCCAGAGGGGTGTGGGGAGAGACCCTCCACTTTGATTCAGATAAAAGCAGCTATCTCTCATCTCTTTATAATTAGGATCTCCCCTTGTGTCCAGTCCTTCCTGGCGAGACGGAGGCCGTGTGTCCCACCCAACCTCCACCTGTTTGTCCAGCACAACAAGCAGAAAAGGCTCCTCAAGGCTTTTACTAGAGTTTGCTAAGACAAGAATCTCTATTATAGAGTTTACAACACACCTCTATGATGTATTAAACTTCAGTATGTAACTTGTCCCACGTTATTTGTGTTACAGTGCCTTCTGATGCCTTCATTTAATTTAGCAATTTTTCACATGCTATTTATGTGGATATTTGATTGATTTTCAATATATAATATGAAAAGACATCCTGAAAATAGTATTATATTTAAAAACTAATATTGGAAGTATCATACAATCATGATATTTATTTATTTATTTATTGTGATTTATGATGTGAGAATATTTTATACACAACAAATCAAAATTGTGGCATAATGTCTAATATAAAGAACAATTTTGCCACTTATAAAGCAAGCATTAGTGTACTGGGTTATTATGAAATGTGTCATTGAAAAACATGCTTGATAAGCCAAATGAGACATGAAAAGTATTAAATAAATAAAAATCAAATAAATCTGTATATCTAAAAATATACTTTCAAAATTTACTATATATATATATATATAGTACATTTTTAAAGTATATTTTTATATATTGTTTTTTTATTTCATACTTTTCATACATTTATGAATGTATGAAACTTGATGAAACTTAATGAAGTTATGAACTGGAATGAACACTAGTGGCAGTAAAACACCAACAACTTTTATTCCTTTTCACACAAACTATGATTATAGGGGCCGATTATCAATTAATACAGACATATTTTTTCCTTAGTTCCTTGCACAATACTATATTATTAGCTCAAAACACTTTTACTATGGTGCATGATTAATAAACTAATACATTTTGACGCTTGCATCACATAACCAGCTCCATATATATGGCTTTTCTGTCATAGTAAACTTGCTTGTTAGCGCACCCGGTACAGCATTGCACTGTGAAGTGCTCAGTATGAACATGAGTCACGATTAAAGAGCTCCAAGACTTGTAGAAACAAGCTAAAATGGCATGGTTACTCCAGCAAATTAGATTTATCTCATGTTTGCTTTTGTTAACACTATTGAACAGCGATACATTATTTTCAAACGCGATAGAGCGTTAACCTTTTAGCATCACTGAGTTTTTGAAGTGTTTTACGGGGCCGTGGGTTTCTGCTAGTGTCATCTGGCATGTCCTTGACCTTCCTCCTTGTCGTTCTTCAGGAGTGTGATCGGTTCACGGGCCGCATTAACTCCTGCGGAGTCACAATCACTGGAGCAGCTCCAAAATTCCTTGAAAGCAAGTTAAACAAAGCTCAGGCCGGCCGGGTCGAGGGTGACTCAGAGCGCCTCTGGCCTTCACAATGGGCACAGAGCGGTAAACATCCCAAAGAGATGGAGCCAGCATATCTGCCCCAAACCAAACATTACAGACAGTGTGCTGACCGAGATCCAAAGTCAAATACAGTACGATGTCTTCATATAAATCTGTTCCATTTATATTTATTCATCTTTCATAGGAACTCAGGACTGCTGTCCTCTTCAGGTCCCATTATCTGTGAATCACAGTGATGTTCAGGTGAACTAATCGCACGGAGGACACACTGGATTCTGTTTTAACACAAAAATAGATAAAACAATGCAGGTGATAGCAGAAGGTCACAGGATGATGGACGGACGCAACCGTTACAGATTTCACATCAAACATGTGACTCCACTGAAAGGAACATGCAGTCATCGCTGTAGAAAACATTGAGTTATACGTATGAAAATATATGAGCAGAGAGCTTTTGGCCGTTCATTCAGCTGGTTGGTTTTGTAGAGATGGTTCAGAGAGGGGCCGTAGGGTCTGTGATGTATTTTTGTAAGTTATCACAGACATGTTCCTGCGCCTGGCAGGAAGAGAGAGAGGGCTGCAAACAGAACGGACTGGAATGTGCTTCCTGCTGGCCAATGGAGCTGGACAGGGCAGATTTCTTGTACCATCGGTGACTCACACACACACACACACACACACGCACGCACACACTCACTCACTCACTCACAAACGCACGTACGCACGCACTCACTCACTCACACACACACACACACACACAAACAGAGGGGTGTTTTTTCACTGTAAATCAGGAGGCTGCAGGCACAGAACATGCTTCCCATGATCTTAAAGATTTTTGATCTGAAGGCTTGAATGCTTGGAATTACATTTCTTAGACAAAAGAAAAAAAGTACAAAAAAAATATTAAGTTTGATAGTGGATATGGAACATGGTTAATAATTAACTAAAACTAAAACCGTAAAAAAATACTTAAAATAAAATAATACAAATATTTTTATTTTATTTCAGCTAGTTCCCAAAGCAAAATTTATTTTAGTTTAATTAGTGTAATAAACTAACTAAAACTGAATAATAATAAAAAAAAATTATCTAATAAAAATGACAAAAATTACTCAAATTAAAGAGGAAAATAAAAACACATTCAAAATACATTAAAAATGATTGTATGTCAATGCTCCTATTTTATAGTGGATACGAAAACTAAAACCATAAACATTTTCGTTAAAGGAGGGACTTTGTAGAAAACGAAGCGTTGGAGAGAGGCGGGGCATAGAGGACCTACAATAATGTACAGTATTTGAAAAATAATGTGTTTTTTGAACATTAAAGCATGTCAACATATTCTGTTACACTAAATACACAAAATAATGATCTTTAAAAAATCATCATATAAATGAAGGCTCTACTATCGGCATTGATGAAGAACCTTTAACACCCATGGAGACTTTCCATTGCACAAAAAGTTCTTATAGTAGAAGAAGGTTCTTCAGATTATTAGAATGTCCTTCACAGTAAGAAAAAAAAATGTTTAAGAACTGTTCACTGAAAGGAACCAAAAAATGTTTTGGGACATCATTGCAAAAAAAAAAACAACAACAACAAAAAAACCTTTAGAACCTTTATTTTTAAGAGTGTTTATAAATTATGAAGGACACTTAGATTGGAAAAAAGAACGTTTCAGAACACAGTTCTCAACATCGCAAAGGTTTATTACAAACAGCAGCATGAACAACAATGAAAACAACGAGAAATGTCGTTCTTTGAGCCCACTCAACTTTAATCGCAACTCTTGTGGCGCGCTCTTGCGGTGAGGATCAGCATGGCTCTCACAGTTCAAAAGAGCATGCAAGCACATCTTGGCTCCTCACGAGCGCCTCTCTTTGGACCCCCAGAGGAGTCTCCAGCTCAGAAACCTGGAGGCGCAGCACGTCGAGGTCCGAGGCGCCGAACCTCGCGCGCATGCGCACTCTCTCGTGCATGTCGAACTGGACCAGCTTGTGCTTCATCAGTGAGAGAGTCCACAGAAACCTCTGGCGCAGCTCCGAGCGCAGCCGCTGCTGCTCTTCATCATCATCATCATCATCAGAGGAGGAGGAGGAGCACAGAGCGGTGAAGCGGGGGGAGCTCGGGTCGAATCCGCGGCTGTTGGGCTCTGGTCCGCTGGGCAGCCGCAGGACGCTCACCGGAGTCTTCATACTGCTCCGTTAAAACGCCTGCTTAAATCATAGACACATCACGAACTCTGCTGTGTACCTCATTCCAACACGAGCGCATCTGAACGTCCGACCGGAAAAGCGGTTTTTTCAAAATAAAAGTCATCAAGCGAGATAAAAAGAAGTCATTCAGCAAAGATGCGTTATATTGACTAAAAGTGACAGCAAGGACATTTCATGCTAAAAAAAAATAGATTTCTTAAAAATGCTGTTCTTTTGAACTTTCTGTTCATCAGAGTATCCTGAAAAAAATGCATCACAGTTTTCACAAAACTATATTGAGTTGCAAAACTGTTTTCAATAATAACAGTAGACAGTTTAGAGTGGAGGAAAAGGCCCCCTACTGTTTTTTCCCAAAATAACCACAAGATAAAGTCGAGATACATCTTTATTGTAATTATGGACTATGTTGACAAGAGTAGTTTTCACGATGAAGCTTACACTGGTGATGTACCGGAGAGAAAACGGATTTCACAGTAAATTATCTGATTTTCAGCAGTAAGAAAAATTTAAAAAAAGTGTTTTAAAGCCTGTTGTTTTGTAAAACATCACAGTTATATATAGAGAGAGAGAGAGAGAGAGAGCTACTCTGTTCTGAACATCAAATCCTTTGTTTTTCCATCTAATGTATTCTAACTAGGTGGTTGAATAAAAATATTTGGACTTCATATTTAAAAATTACCTCAAGTTAGCATCAGGTAGCTAGTTAGCTTGCCAGTTAGCATCAGCTAACTTGGTACAAATTACATTTTTGTTAAAAAAATCTAATATCATGAAAACTCTGGACATTTTTCATACTTGGTTTATAATTTATGTCATTGTCACTAAAACTATGATAACTTTTCTGAACACATTTAACTTTTGTTTCACAGAAGAAAAAAAAAGCACAGTCCTTAAGGTGGGCGTTTCCCTCCACTCTACCGTAATGTTGGCACCGATAGCTTTGTGCGCAGCGTGCCGACATACAGCGTCATTGCGCTACGAGCGTCCCGAGTTCAAATCCCCCCCATCTCTCTCCCACTTCGCTTTGGGTCAGTTCTGATCTGTCCTATCGCAATAAAGGCCTAATGCCAAAAATAAATATTTAAAAACAAACAAACAAACTATGACAGCAATAAGAACCCTTAATGATAATTGAGCACCAATAATATTTGAGCAGCAAATCAGAATTTTGGAGTGATTGCTGAAGGATCAAGTGACACGGACTGCTGAAAATGCAGCGTTGTCATCACAGGAATAAATTAAATAGGCCTATATTAAAATAGCAAACAGTTCTTTTAAATTGTAATATTTCCCAGTATGACTATTTTACTGTATTTTTGGATCAAATAAATTCATCCCAGCAGATTTGCTTGTGCCATATGGTTTTAACTAGCCTGCTGAATTCACACTGTATAATCTTTTAAATTGTAATATTTCCCAGTATGACTATTTTACTGTATTTTTGATCAAATAAATTCATCCCAGCAGATTTGCTTGTGCCATATGGTTTTAACTATATGCTGAATTCACACTGTATAATTATTTTTGTCTAGTTAAAATCTGCCTTGATCAAGATCTATATGCTCTATTTTTTTTAGCCTTTTCTGTATTTCAGTGTCAATTTTGTTCTTGTTTCCTGAATTAATCATTGACAATAAAAGTGCATTTCTAATTTGTTTTAAGCAAAATCACCAAACCAGACATCCTAACATCTTAAAATGATGGCATTAGAGCAAAAACATAGGTTATCTACCATGGCATAACATTAAAACGATTATTTATAAATTAATTTCGAGAGCACGTTAATTTAGTAACTGGAACATGCAAAATCTTCCCACAGTTGAATCATTTCTAGACTCATGTGTGTTTGAAATATCGACCGCACCCATTTCTCGTAACTGAGGGGAATCCCAGCAAACCAGACAGACAAAATGTAAAAGGAAACTGCTACTCCTTTAGTTGTAATATTCTGTAATATATCACATCTAAAACCATGCATTGACCAGCCTGTCAATAGTAAATCCAAATGCAACTCAAAGCTACACCCATTCTGTCTTGACTTCCTCTTATTCTACTGTCTTCCTATTCTTTTATTATCATTATTTGGTAAGAATGGCCATAAGTTATGTTGGTTTGCATAATGACACATCGCTTCCGATCGCATGGACTTCCTCAAACATCTCATGCTGATCTTTTGCACTGCAGCAGTGCCCTCAGACGACCTGCACTCTCTTTTCAACTTAAAACAACTGTAAGTACTGATCGTCTCACTCTATACATCATTTGCTGTCTTAATCATGCTTTGAATAATATGATAGAATTATGATATTAGCTTGCAGTCTACTTCATAATAAGGACGAATGTACTAATATCCAGACATAAAAACTGAAAGTGATCCAGGGAAAAGTGGAACTGATATTAACTTTGAGCTGATGACAGTGTGCATGTCATGCAGCGTTTTTTTTTCCTGTTGTATGAAAGTTACTTGTGTGTATATAGTATGATATGTAGAGTTTGATATACAGTGCTTATTTTTAAACATTGTCTGCGTATGTGCCGGTTGTAGTTTATATCCTTGAAAGGATGGAGAAGAATGGAGGAAAACCACGTCAGCAGCATTATGGGTAAGTCTCTGTTGCAGTTTCATGATGCATCGTCAGGGAAGTAGTGAACAATTATGTAACACAAAATAAATGTTTTAATGTGGTAGCAGAACTTCAAGAAGATACTGTCATTATGGCAGCTAAAAGTAGAAGATTTTCATCTTTTCCCCCAGTGGCTCAAAGCAAATGAGCGTTTATTGTCATTCAGATATGACAGTCACGGTGAAACACAATCGCATTTCTCTTGTTGCTAATTTTACATTCAATCTTGAGCTGTGACATTTATCACAGCACACACAGGATATTGCACAACATTACCGCATATGTATGTATATATATATATATACAACAATATCTGCTGAGATATTACACTACATATTTGACAAGAAAAGTATATCACTGAAATACTATAAAACACTGTGATAATCTCTGCATTACACACACAGCTGAATTTATTTATAATATAATATTGTGTGTGTGTGTGTGTGTGTGTGTGTGTATCTGTGTATCTCTGTGTGTGTGTGGTTTAAATGTTTAGTCAAAATATAAATTCAAAAATACAAATCATTTAAAACAATTTCAATGTAACAGTTGATTTATATTTAAAGGGATAGTTCACCCAAACATGAAAATTACCCCATGATTTATTCAAATTTAAGTCATCCTAGGTGTATATGACTGTCTTGTTTCAGATGAATACATTCGTAGTTGTATTAAAAATGCCCCGACTCTTCCAAGCTTTATAATGGCAGTGAATGGCTGTTGAGATTTTTAAGTCAAACAAAGTGCATCCATCCATCATAAAAATTGCTACACAAAAAATTTGTAAATGTTTAGTCAAAATGTAACATATATTAATGTAATCATTAAAATTAAAACTCATTATATACTTTAATTAACAGCTATTGTCACAGTCTTCAGCTGGTGTGCCCTAGATGGCCACTAGAGGACACTGTGTCTTTTGTGTGAGCACATGGCTTGTTGTGTGTTTGTTGGTGCCATGTGCTCTCCTGTCTATTGTCTGACCCTGGCCATCTTGTTACCTCATTATTGTTTCAGTGATTCCACCAGTGTCTCCCTCATTACCTGCCCTACTTAGTCTCCCTGTGTTTGCAGTTCTGTGCTGGTTTGTCATTCGTATGTACGTGTGTTGTTGTACCTGTGTTGCTCTCTGTGTTGCCGTGCTGTACCGTGTCCTGGCCTGCCGGCCTGTTTTTTTTTTCCCCCTCGGGGGAGTTTTTGATGTTGTTTTGTTTTATTTTTTTATCATTAAAAGCCTATTTCTTCCTGCATTTGAGTCCTCGCTTCATCTCTCCACACCGACCGTGACAAGTTATAATATACTATAATACTGTAAAAGACTGTAATAATGTAATAATCTCATCAGATGTTGTATGATAATGTTATCTGTGTATATAATAAAGTAACTATGTTGATATGCAGTAATTAAACACTGTAGTGTATACTGTATGACAATTCGTGTTTATATATATATAAAGCAAAAAAGGCCTCTAACACTAGCTTGCTCTATTCTTTTTCTATTCTGTTTTTTTTTTTTATTATATATGCTATGTGTACTGCGTTAAGCTAACTTGTTATAGCACTTGCGTGTCATTGCTTTTTTGTTGATTTTGATTGCTTCCGTTGTCCTCATTTGTAAGTCAATTTGGATAAAAGCGTCTGCTAAATGACTAAATATGTATATATATATATATATATATATATAGTATAACAATTTATTTTAATAGTTTATTTAAAATACAGGAAACCAAGTTTTGTTCAAGTGCTTTAATCTTTGTCCCATTAAAATGTGTCTATTTATGCAATGGATGCTTCTTTGTATCACTTGAATATTACATTATCTCTATAACTGTGTATTATTACATATCTTTGCATCATCAGGCTGGTTTCGTCAGCGCTTTGGAAAACAAAGGAATGATTCGGACCAAGTTAAACCATGTAAATGTTCTCAGACGTGCTCCCCCGGACACTCCAACACCAGCAGCTCGGTGTGCTCCTCTTCCTCCTCCTCTTCCTCCCCGAAATCCTCCATATCAGCCAAGCCATCGGCCTCAGATCAGCCTCTGCCCTCCGTGCTCTCCTCCCCCTTCCGCTCCTCTCTCAGATATGACGTTTTTGTGTGTCACAACGATGAGGACAGTGATCTAGCACAGAGTCTGTCCTCATTCCTAGAAGCCCCGTCTAACGGCACCAGCAGCTCGGTGTGCTCCTCTTCCTCCTCCTCTTCCTCCCCGAAATCCTCCATATCAGCCAAGCCATCGGCCTCAGATCAGCCTCTGCCCTCCGTGCTCTCCTCCCGCTTCCGCTCCTCTCTCAGATATGACGTTTTTGTGTGTCACAACGATGAGGACAGTGATCTAGCACAGAGTCTGGCCTCTTTCCTAGAAGCCCCGTCTAACGGCCTGCGCTGTTACCTGCAGGAGCGGGACTGTCCTGCAGGAGGCGCTGTGTCCACTGAGCTGCTGCAGGCCGTGCAGGACAGTCACTGCTGGCTGTTACTCGTCACTCCAAACTTTGTGAAGGATGACTGGTGCTCGTATCAGATGCACCAGGTCCTGTCTGAAGGGCCCATGTCACAGAGGATCATCCCGGCTGTAGTAAACATGCCCAGATCACAGCTCCCGCTCGAACTGCGCTTCCTTTTCACTGTGGATCTGAACACGAACAAAGAGTTCGGATACACTCTAGTCTACAAGGCAGTGCTTCAGTGTGAGTATTTTGTATCTACACAAGTATTGGAGACTCTTGTTTGCAGGTTCAGATCCCACAATGCACTCAAAAATATATTATGTTTTTGAATTGCATTTAAAATTTCTGAAAAAAAAAAAAAAACTCAGAAATTGCTTGTAAATTTCACAAACAATTACAAAAATGGCAAGTATAACACATTGAATTAAACAGGACATTTTCAATTATAAAAACTGCAATAGTATTTTCTTGGAAAACATACTCAAATAAGCAACTTTACAAAGATTTAACATAACCTAATACATTTAATGTGACACATACATATTTGTCAGTCATACATAAATGAAACGAACCAGATTTCCTTAAAATTACGAATTAACTGAAAGTATTTTAAATACACAATAACCAGGTTTATACATTTATCATCAATAAATCCAATTAGCTTTGATCTCGTACATTGAATATTGCTTGTTCCATATTTTATCCATGTTCGTACTTTTAACTGAATACATTTTTCACAATGAGCAGATTCATGCTGATTCTGATGCTGATTTATCTATATTTATCTTCTTTTTTTATATAAAAAAACCCACTAGCTTTCTATTTTTTCTATTCTATCTACTTGTTTGTCTTTGTGTGTGTGTGTGTGTTTGTGTATAATATATATATATATATATATATATATATATACACCTTGCTACATGTAGTTTTGACTGCTTTTATTGTCCTCATTTGTAAGTCAATTTGGATAAAAGCATCTGCTAAATGACTAAATGTAATGTAAATGATTCTAAGCTATTTGAATGAATGCATTAAAAATTTGATTATTTCACTACAATGAAATAGATGCAAATAGTAAATAATTAACTATTTATTTATTTTTAAGTGCAGAAATCTGACCTGTTTCATTTCTGTATGACTGACAAATATGTAAATATGCATCGCATTAAGTTTATTCGTTTGTTTAGTTTAAAATGTTGTATTGCACATGCAATTGTTAAATGCAATTCAATTACATAAAACAATTTAGGCCTAAATGTTTTTTTTTGTTTTTTTTAAGTGTGGGTGATCAATCAAGACATTTGAAGTGATTGTTCACAGAAAAAGTACATTCCATCATCATTCACTCGATCCTATGTCGTTCCAAACCTCCATGACATTTTTCCCCCATAGAAAAGCCTTAATAAATCATTTGTCCTGGCCATTCTTTTGCATACAGTGAAAATGAACTGTGATGCTCAGGTGAGTTGAGGTTCTAGTTGCTCACAAATGCACTTTATTACAATTGCTTTGCAAAAGCTGTAGACAAGATGAGCATAAATGGAAATAAATAACTTGAGTGAACCAGGAGTAAGGAAGAATGATATTCGGAAAGAGCAGTCAGAACTCCTTAAGAAGGATTTTAGTGAACTCTTTGAAACACTTCGAAGACTCAAAGTTCAGTCGTTCATCAGTGGACCACACCCAGCAAGGGGAACTGACATGTTTTCATGGTTGCTTGGGTTGAATACATGGCTACAAAGAACCTGCAGTATAAAAGGAGTCAACTTCATCGACAATTTCAATCTTTTCTGGGGCCATACCCTTACCAAAAAGTAGTATACTTCAAGTTTATTTTAGTAAGTATACTTAAGTAAAGTTCAAGTATATGTTTAAGTATACTTTATGTAGTAAGTATACAAATATCAGTGTACTAGTAGTATACTTGTAAGTGTACTATTTCAATACTCCTTGGGACTAAATTGGCCCACTTTCTAGTATATAAAAGTATACTTTTAAGTATACTTTAAGTATAACAGTAGTAAACTTTGAGTACACAACTAGTTTACATCAAAATGTTTAGTTTGTACTGCAACTATACTAAAAGTGAACTTATAGGTATACTGATAGTTTACTAATTAAATACTTGTAGTAGCATTTTTAGTACACTTTGAAGTATAGTCAAGTCGTTCTGTACAGAAGATGTGTACTAGCGCCCCCTACAGTATAACAATGGAAACACGGATTCTAGGAGCACAAGTATAGCTAAA